TCAGGCTGACGATTTAAAGAAATAAAGAAGAAAAGTTCCATAAAATCCCTCTGTCAGCAACTCTGTTACACTGTCCAACTTAAATAATTGTCCCCACTGAAGGGAACTCTTATTTATTTAACTGACATTATTAACATTTCTATTAATAATGTATACCCTTCTGTTCATTTGACTGAAGGGCAGATGTGAGAGGGTTTAGAATATGCTCAAATCTATAGTGTAATATTACTCTCACAGATTTTCATCAGTGGAACAAATTGTAGTAGAGTATCATTGCGGAGCAACATTTTCCCTTTAATCGGGTTACTTTCTGCGGACACAGTGCTCAATAGATATCTTTTGGTTCTTTTAATTATAAAAACCCAGCTATCTGAAACTTTAGAAAATGTGTTTCCCCTCTCCTGTGCCTCTACATCAAAGCAAAGCTAAACTGAAAGGCCTGATGAAAAGGGACTGTAGAACAATCTTTGCTCATTTTCTGAAGGCACTGACTGCTTTTAATAATTGCTCTCATGTTCCTTTGGTACAAATGGCCTTCATTTAGAAACTGAATATACATTTGAGCCTGAATTATGTGCATCTTTTGAACACGAATATGTTTATTTACTTTATTTTTATTAGAAGTAGTTACTGTCATAAATGTGTAGAGGATTGTACTACTAATATTTGTATTTTTGCATTAGGGTTTGGAAATGATTATTGGCCAAATATTCTATGTCAAAAAATCTTTTTCATTGTTTTGTTGGGCAGAAAAATGAGGGCAGCATGATATTTGGAAATGGTGTGTGATGTGACAGTAGTTTTTAGTTAGCTATAATAACTTATACGCAAAAAATAAAATGCTGTCAATGTCTTTATGCTTTAAGGTTTATAGCAAACCAAGGAAACAGATTAGGGGCAGTTTATCCATCTACTGGCAAAAAAACAGTAAACTTCATAATTTCTATCTCGGTATTAAGGACAGAAGTGCTTCTGGTCAATGTCTGCTGTTTAGACATTAAAAAGACTCATTATCCTTATCACTTGAATACCGTGTAAACTCTAGGCACTCTTAAACGTTTATACTATATTAAAGGTATAGAGGACAATCTTTTATTTCCGTGTGGATCATCTTAATACGTGTTCCTCCTAATTGTCAGTCATTCTGGTGATTTGTTTACATAAGGCTGTCCTACATGCTTGTTCCGTTAGCTATCTTATTTTTGCACATGCCCACTTTCAGGTGTTTATCTGTGGTAAACTACGGTTTCAGTCATTGAAGCTCACCTTTCTCACCGCGGTTCTTTGAAAATGGTCGAGGGTCGTAAGAGAAAAAAAGTGTGTACGAAGTGTATCAGAAAAAAAGAAAGGCTTCAGAAGAGGCAGATATATCCCAGAATGCTTTGCACAGAGTGCTCTCCTCACAAAGCGTTATGTGATTTGCTGTCACAGCTGCAGCAAATCCCATAATGCTGTCACCATAGGCTGTTGCTACCCGACAGTGGCAACTAATGACAAAGATGGTGACGGCCCCGCGCAATGGAGGAAAGGTTGCATGACCAACGAGGTATAAAAAGCAATGATCATCTGTCCGAATGGTCAGTTAACTGAGTTTGGTATAAAGTCCACTATATAGTCCCTGCTGTATGTACACACAGTAAGCTTGTATGAGCTATGAGAACAGCACATTTTAAACGGGGCGTGGACGAGGAGAAATAGGCTTATGCACAAGCCTATTTCTTTTGATCAACCCCATTAGGAGGCTTTGGGGATCAAACACATGCGACCTGTGTGTGAACGGCCAGGTCGCATCCATCCGACCTGAACGCCAATAATACCCGACAAAGGCCGTTATTCTGGGTCTTGCTATGCAGAAGCGGCAAGAAAACCAAGAACCATGGCAGATGATGATGCGGAGAGCAGTATTTATGTTTAACCATATTGAAAAGATTGAGTTTTTATGGTTGTAAAAGACCGCTAGATGCGTGCCGGCACTACCATCCATTTTTACTTCCGTAAACATAGAGCACGCTGGCCTGTGACATCATTGCGTCCTTTACTGCACATGCAGGACACTTGCGTTGTATGACTGCAGTTCGCACAGGAGATAAGATACAAGTCGCATATAATTGGAAATGTGAACGACAACGCAAAAAAAATCAGATGTCACAAAAAAATCTGAATTGACCATCAAGGCCTGCAGTGTGAACGTAGCCTATAAGTACAGGCCATTTACCATTCAGCATTCTAGCTAGGATCAATATCGCAATTACTAACTGATGCTAATCAGTTAGTAATTGTTCAATTAGAACAACTTCCCTGGTTGCAACATATTCATTAAAGCTTTCCTCCATTTACTGTTCATTACAGCAATGTGTGATGACATAAGTTGGATAAAGACGTAGGACAGCAATACGCTTTTTGTTGGTTGTTAATTCGCTTCAAACGAATTCTGTAACTTTTAGAGCTGTTTATTTCATCACTTATTTATGTCATGCTCCAATCCCAGATGCCATAGCAACATGTGCCATCTGTTAGAAACTAAACCTAAAAGTCATTTTAAGCCTCATTCCCCAATGTCTCAAAATACTTTAATATGTGAAAGTAAAAAAAATGAGGTGAGAAGCAGTTATAAGAAGAAAGCAGTCGTCAATAATATAGTAGTGTCTTTTATTGCTGAGGGTGTGAGTTTTCCTTATGAATTTCATGACATTTATGGTTGACAGCGTTCAATGTCATCGTCACAACAATGCGCTTGGGATGCGGTGGACCGCCATGCATTCCCAGATCTTTCAGTTTATTAGAGTTATTGGAATGCTGACCTTGTCAATTACTGTTCTGTTCCTCTGAACAATCAAAATCAAGAAGGGGTTTGAGCCTTCCAAAACTATAAAACCGTGGGAAGAAAAAGAAACGGACATTAGAGGACACTGAAGTTGTTATTTGTTACCTAGCAACACTTGGCTCTTGAGTGAAGATGCTGAAAAAGTAGGTCCTCTTTAGCTCTATCCCAAAAAATTGCTGCATATGAAAACAGATTCTTTTAGTTTCTTTATCCACAGACAATTTTTTAGTTGCTTTTTTCTTCTGTAGTGAGAGGAGATATTTTTATGCAAACGCAGTGCCAAGGATTTGTTGGCTTTCAGTAGAGTCCCAGTTATGCATTATCTAGTAAAGTCCTATCCTCACATGCCTCTTATTTTCCTTAACAAAACACAGCTCAGCACTTTGTTGTGTTTCATGCTTAAAGAGAGGAATAATGCAGACTGTTACTAACCATCGCACTGGTTTAGTGAAAATAATCTTTTCCTTCTCTGATAACATCTGCTCCATGTTGGAAAGTTTTCACCCCTCCCTCCTGAGCAGACCCCTAAAGTTTCACAGCATAGGACCATTTATGACCTACAAATCCACATTACTGCAGAGCCCCTACACATTTTAATCAGTTTTAAAAGCTTACAAAAAGAGAATGCCAATTGCTCATCCTAACAATGGCTACTTGAGGAACGTCTTGGATATTTGGCGTGAAACTAGTGTGCCGCTATGATGGCACACACAAGGATGACTTGCACAGTTGTATCCAGATATCTGCCAGTCTTCATCTTGTCACAGGTCACAGGCAGGGCTTTGTTTGAGGGCTGACAGCGAAGGTTGCTTCATATACCCAGCACACATCCATCTCCATCGTCTCTGCTGCTTTGGGATGAAGGAGAGAGGTGATTCTGGATTTCTTTTGTTGTTGTTGTTGCTCTGCTGTGGTAGCTCGCTGAATCACCTTGACACTGGTGCAGTCTGTCACAGAGCTTATCAGAGCAACTTTTGATGGATTTTTCTTTCTGGAAAATGCAGCAATTAATGGGCGGGTAATGTGGATCGGACTGTTTTGGGTTTTGGGGGTATTGGGGTTTAAAAATACAAGAAAATAAACCATGCTGATTAGATTGATCAAATCTCTAAACCCCTTCAATTTACTATTAACAACCAATATGGTGCTCCTTATATGATATAAAGATTAGGAAAAAATGCGATGATTTATTAGTTATAATGCTCTACAAATCTTTTCAGATCCTTAAAAAACATAATTTGTCAATCACAAAACAAGTATCTCTTCTTTTTTGTACTCATTTTTAAAGTAAGTAAGTGCAGCTCTTAACTAGGCTTGATTGGATAAGCAGGGAGATATGTATTGATTGGGTTGCATTCATTTCATTGTGGTTGCTCCTGTAAATCAATGAGTTCATTGTGCATGTATACAAGCAGGTACGTAATGTTGGAAGAGGCTACAGACAGAAAAGTGGTACATCCGCGTCCTGTATCTAAAGAGGTGTAGTTCAGCTAAGAGACTGCAAATCACTGTGAAAATGCAAATCGCAGTGTCATGCTGATCAATCTTGTGGGATGCTGAGACAGATGTCTTTAGTGACAAGTCAGCAGCATCCTAGGCTGCTTTTTCCACCCTTCTGCACGAAACTGGCAATTTTAGTCTTTCCGTTTTGGTTCAATTGTTCCTTTTTGCTAATCTTTGACTGGTTTTATTTGCATTAGGAGAATTAAGAAATAATTGAGCTTGTTTGCAAATCAAAATAAACCATTTGTTATCCAGCTACAGTAAGTCTCTTTTCTTTGTTTCTCTCTACAGAATGCAACTTTAATAAAACAATCCAGCCGTACTGGAGGAACACCAAACAGGGCTCTTTGATCAGCTGGTCAGCGCGGAGCTGGGGGAGAGGTGAAGCCAACAATCAGGTCATCATGCTTTAGCACACAGAAAGGACCGGCTAATCACTGGAGAAGCACCATTTACCTTTCCATTGATAATCCTGAGCCGAAAAGGGCAAACATCTCCCACTTATCCGCCATTCGTCATCCTTGCAAAGATGCCAGTGCTAAGATTAATGCGGTGGCATTTCTGGTGACGGGGGAAACAGAGCTTGCGTGCGCTTCAAGGCAGGCAGGCCAGCTGGTGGATCGACGGGTGGAAGGGCACACCACAAGACATTTGGGTTAGGCTTGGTGAAAGCATGCGGCCCTGGGCAGGCTCATGGCGATGGATTACCCTGGTGCTGCTGGCTTGGGGCACACTCCTCTTCTACATCGGCGGCCATTTGGTGAGGGACAGCGAGCATCCGGAGCGGTCCAGTAGGGAACTCTCTAAGATCCTGGCAAAGTTGGAGCGGCTTAAGCAGCAGAATGAAGACCTACGGCGCATGGCCGAATCTCTCAGGTAGGAAAATGCTCAAGGGAATGATTTGTCAGCTAAAATAAACTTTATTCACTTATGTTTTAACTGTTTTCTTTTTTCTAAGTATATACCAGGCATCCTGCAGGTTTAAGAGCTTCCCCTGCTTTAGCACATCTGATTATAATGATTGCAGTTGAGCAAAAGCCTGTTAATCAGCTTTCAATTAAAATCAGCTGTGCTGGAGCAAGGAAACCTCTAAAACCTGCAGGACAGCGACTGATGCCCGGTGTATACAATATATATGATCTTAAAGCCCTCTTTCCACATAGCCCTAACAGTAGCGTTGAGGTAGCAAAGGGATTGTTAGCAAATTATTTTCTCAAAAAACCACAAGAATTCTAGAACAGTCTGTTTGACAGATTACACTAAAGTAAATATCTTATACTACATTTCCTTGTACAAGGAAAACCAAACAAAGCATATAAAGACAAACAGCAGGACAACAGAATAGTTTGGTCTTTTATTTCTTTGCATCTTCATGACTTTGAATATTCTTTTTACCATTTATTTAGAGTCTAATGTGAGGCCATCCGTCCAAGTGATAAAGCTCAGCTTAAACAGTTTAATCAACGGCATAGTGATTCTAAAGACAGCACAGCAAAAGTACTACTGAATGACTAAAAAACAAAGATTAGGATGTTCCAATTGTCTCATTAGAGTCAGACTTCAGCCTGATTGAAACGGTGCGGCGAGTCTTTAAGAGAGCTGTGCAGAAATAAAAAGCTCAACATAAATAGAAGTGAAGGTTTAAAGTCCCTTCAAATGAAGGAAATTCAATTTAAGTTCGTACAACACTGGTGGATATTTATTTTGACACTTATTTTATCCATGTAGGCATCATTTATCTAACTATGTCATTTTATTCTACTGTTTTAAAAAAAAAACTGATGTTCAACCCAAAAATGTTTAGCTTTTTCAGTTAAAACATTACATTTTCCTTTATTTTACCACTGCTGAGCAGATCTGTTGAGAAACTAGGGGATAAAAGCACTGCATTTAAATCATAGGTTCTGCTGATACATCCAGCAGAGTAGCTCGCAGCTTTGCTGGTCATTATTGGACCGCTGACTGCTATGTAAATATTTTAAGTGCCTTTCGGAAACCACAGAATTTCCCAGTATTTTACTTCTACTAAACGTGATGATTTGATATTTGGGGTAAAAAAAAAAAAACACTCAAGAGTAGATATAATTCACCTGTTTACTTCCTCTTTGGTCCAATCTTAAGAATGCTTTAAAGCTAGAGCAGTCAATGGGTGAAGTAAAGCCTCATCAGACAGTTGTAGCAGCTAATCTGTGGTGTGATAGATGCTGAGTGTGACAGATGGATAGTGTGTCACACGTCTCACCAGATTTTGTTATTTTAAAAGACAATAGCACATTGCGCGAGTCCATTAACCGCACAGCATCTTTCACACGTTCAAGCTATTTGTAACAGTGAGGCAGATGGTTCTTCTCTTATCACCGCATGCTGACAGTGTTTTTCTAAACACTCGAACCCCAGATCCGGACATGGATGTGTGAAGGCTTGCTTTAGTGTGCCGGAGATGTGGCAGTGCGTTCTTCTGTGTGTGTGTGTTTCTGTTTTGGCCTTGGAGTGAAGGCCATCTTTCTGATTTCACCATCGATTTGATGACCCAAGTGAGGACAATCTGCTGTCCTCACTTCTTTTTTTTGCCAATGGTTAAGTGTAGGACTAATGCATAAATTGAGTTTAGGGGATTAGGGTTAGGTATGCCATGTGTTAATTGGTTTTATGGTTATTGTCAAATGACCTAAAATCGATGAAAGTCAAGGGAAATCAACACACGGTCCTCACTACATATAGCAATATGATAATGTGTGTGGGTGGTGTGTGTGTTTGTTTGCCATATTAAGGGAAAGCTTCAGATGTTGCCATAGCTGCTCCTCTCTGATATTCCGATTCACTTTGATGCAAGGACCTCATCGGTGCACACAAACATAAAAAAACCACACACATGCATTTCTTCAGACAGCTGGTCCTTGATTAAATCCCCTGCTTTTGTAATTATTTAAAATTGGCTCACAAACAAGGGTGGAATTCACAGTCTATAAAAAAAAAAAAGAAAAACAAGTGCAGCTTTCAGTCGATGTTCAGTTGATGTCCAGATGGGTCCCTGACAAACTGCGTGCTTGCAACTTGTTATTGAGTTCAGGATGTTGATCTGGGACTGAGGACTCCGCAGTTGTTTACTGGGGCAGAACTGCATTGCCTTGTCAAGTCCCACTAAGCTTCAGCTAAGTATCACAGAATAGGAAGCCAAAAGGAGGCTGGTGGTTTTGCTGAGGTTAAGCTTTATGAGCTATCAGCAGCAAAATGGCTTACTTTGTGCTCTGCCCACTTAAGTATTTTTATGCCTGAGGTTAGGGTATTCAAGAACTTTTTGACTTGTTTTTCTTTTTAAATCTCAGTGTACCTTATTTGTATTTAACGGTTTATTTTAAGTAACATTTTTAATAAATATTTAAGATAAAAAAAAACAATACACAAGGTTTATACAAATTAAAAATAGAACTTGGGCATTTTGTATCTCAGTCTAAATCAATACTTTTAAGAACTACATTCTGCTTTAATGACAACACAATGAAGGCACAATGTATGTCATCTGTCTGTACTCTTTATCTTAGGGCTGGGCGATAATTCAATAACGATATATATCGATCGATAGACGTGTGGCGCAATAGAAAAAAAGAGCGTCGATAAAAGTTCGATAAAAAATAAACGCAGTTTTCCTTCCTTCTCATTGTATCCTAGCATGTAGGTTTATGCTAGTCACTGCTTCCTCCCAACCAATCACAATCGCGGACCCAGGCATGTCGTCACCAAGCGCCGCCCTCTCAAACCTCAACACAGAGCACATGAAGCTGTGCAGCAAGGAGAGGCGGAGGAAATTGTTCCAAAGAAAGGTTTTTGTAGTTCGCCAGTCTGGCAGCATTTCGTTCATGGCAAGTCGGACCAAAAACAAACCACAGTCATCTGGAAAATGTGTTGGGAACCAGTGAAAACCAGTCTGATAACGAAACCAACTTTTTTTTATCATCTCAGCCGCTCACAGCCGCAGGAGTACGAGCTGTGTAGGCCCCGACGCGGCTCTCCTCCGAGGAATCTTCGGAAAATGTATATATATTTTCAGTTCTGGGCAGTTTCCCACGTAGTTCTAACAATTGAGATAAAAATGCTGAGGGGCCAGAAACTTCAAAGTAATAACTCAGGTTAAAGCAGGAAACGGGGGCGGCGGTGGGGGGGCATTTATTTATTTGTTATATTTATTTTGGTCACTTTTCTGGTCACTTTAGTTTATTCTTTGTCAGTATTTAATAACATAACTCAGGTCTATTCAGTTATTTTTCTTTAAAACAATTCTGTTATGGTTAAAAAAGTTGGTTAAATAAAGATTTAATTCGAAGTCTGTGTTTGTGTTTTTTATTAAAATTAAATAATTTAGCAATATTATAAAAAGTCCAGGCAGAGCTGCACATAAAATATGGTTTCAAATCTTTTCAATAATTATCGATATCGATCAATATGCATTTTTTTTTATCGATAAGCTTTTTTTCTATATCGCCCAGCCCTACTTTATCTCTACAATTTATCCATCTTTGTCTGGTGGTAATAATTTACAATGCATTTTATAATAAGGATAATTGGTCAGACACTAGCTATTTAAGTAATAGTTCATTAGCTTGATATAAAGCTTGACTAAATAAAGGCCATAAAATAATAGCTAGGAATGAATTTGGTACTCAATAAAGTTGTGTTTTGGCAATCTGTGACTTCACAGGTTTAGCGTTTATTCAGAATCAATGAGAATTTCTACTCTACTTTTGCTGCCTAGAACCAATAGTCCTCTAACACTGTCTGTACTGGTTAAATACGCTTTAATTCCTTATTAGTTCCTCCATGATCATCCTCCATGATGTTAACGACCCATTAGGTCGTTAACATCATGGAGGGACTCTAGGGACTCTTTGTTTCCTTGGTAACTAAATATTAATTCCTGTCTTGTTACTCTTTGGCTGTGTCCGATATGCGCTCTGGTCACTACATAGGGCACTGTATAGTGGTTACGACATTTTGAATAATTGTCTAGTGGATGAAAATATAGTGGACCAGAATTTCCCACAGTGCACCTTGAAAGGTAGTGATCATCCATGGTCACTAGAGGGAGGAGCAGATATATCCCAGATTGTGTTGCAAGAAGTCTCCTCGCAAAGCATCATGGGATTGTTTTGACAGAGGTCCACTGTCTGGTTCTGGCAGCAGCGACAAAGATGGTGCATGCACCATGCAGGGAGGCCGGGTTACGTGACCAATGGGGGGAGCGAAAAGTAGTGATGATCTGTCCAAACGGTCAGTTAACAGAGTTCAATATATAGTCCCCGCTCCCCGCTTTATAGTGATTGAGGGATTTAGGGCTTAGGGCGGACGTTTCGACACAGCCTTTGTTTCCTTGGTAACTACATATCAGTTCCTGATTAGTTACTCGTTGTTTCCTTGGTAACAACATATCAGTTCCTGATTAGTTCATCTTTGTTTCCTTGGTAACCACACATTAGTCCCTGTTTAGTTATTTTGTGTTTCCCAGGTAACTAAGCAGTAGTCCCATAATAAGGCTGTGCTGAGTATGCCCCAGTAAGTACCAGGTAACTACCCATTAGTTCCGTAGTAGTTCTTCAAATTGTAGACAATTGGTAGTTTTTTCCCTGTTCTTTACATCTGTCTAGAATATTGATGTTTCATATAAATAAAAAAAAAGTTTAAATCACTTCAATTCAGTTTATTTCAGTTGTACTAACTTACAAAAAAAGCTCTATGTAATCCAAATATGAAGACAGATTCAACGCTGATACTCTCCACTTTTAACATTATTATGAAAAAGTGCAGTCAAGTTCAGTTTATTATTTAAATCAGTTTGAAAGCTTTTGTATCCAGGAAAACTCAGCTGATTGCATCCGATCAAA